AGTAAGTCCCTCTTTCTCAATTTAGAGATGCTCCACTTTGTATAAATAATTAAAATTTCAATAGGCCTGAGGGGCCAAGTATAGAAGTCATCTGAGATATGGAAAGCCTGAATGAGGCAAAGCATGGACACGAACCTGGTTCTCACACAGCCCAGGCAAATAATATAACCATACCTTGTCCTGACCATCCTAGGATATGTTTTCCATTAAATTTTCCAAAAAGTGTGAGCTTTATTGAACATTAAAGCAGAATTAGGATTTTGAAACCTTGGCTTTTTTCTTTGTAAAACAAAATACCATTTTCTAGCCAGCCCTACTCTATGAAAAACATATTAGTTGAGTTATATTAATACACAAAGTTCTTAGGAATGTAATGAAAATGGCATGGTGAAGCAATACCTAACCAACTTTGTGCTGAGTCACATCCCTGATCTCAGTTACTTATTAGATGTTACTAGAACTGCCTCCCCCACAGGATCTTCATCAGCAAGTACAAAGATGCCCTGTGGAATATTAATCAAACAACAAATCAGAACTGAAATCAGGAGCACTGGTCAAGTCTTTTTCTATGCTCAAAAAGGCGATTGTTCCATTCAAATGACTGTAAACCTTGACAGTAGCAAGGCATTTTATATAGTCTCCCACACCATTCTTGCAATCAAGGTGAAGAAATATGGGTTGGATGAATGGACTGTAAGGTGGACAGAAAGCTGGCTGAACCATAAGGCTCAGTGAGTAGTGATCAACAGCTTGAGATCTAGTTGGAAGCCAGTCTCAGGTTGAGCACCCCAGGGGTCAGTCCTGGGGTTGGTTTTGTTCAATATTGTGGCAGTGAGAGATACCCACAGGGGTTGGAAGCGCCAGCGACAGACCCTGACACTTCCGAAGAAGGAAACAGGGATGCCCACACCACAGAGAACTTACCTCTGAAAGTGGCCGGGGCACAGAAGGAGCCGCGCAAGCCGGCATTTCACTGGCTCATAAAGCGGCTGTCAATCAAGGTGGGCAGTGGCCGGTTGATGATGTCAGCTGGGGCTGCCGCTGCAGGAGAGTTAAAAACCCCGCCGGAAGTCAGGCAGGGGGGAGCCAGCTAGGAGAACAACGGGCACGTTGAGACCTGGCGCGCTGACAGGAGTGGTCCCATTGATACTGCCCCATGGCAGAGAAGTGGGGGCAGTAACTGGCATCCAGCCAGGAATGGGCAAATCCCAGCCCTGGAGCATTAGGGCTCCAAGGCGGCTCTATCTGCTCAGACCCTGAAGGGCTCCAAGGCGATTCTATCTGCTCAGACCCTGAAGCCAGTATCTTCGGCCTCAGGGTTGGCTTAGGAGTCAGGGTGGCCAGGCTGACTGTAGGAGCCTGCACAGTACCCACAGTTGTGGGGCGCACCCCCTTTTTGGCCAACACAGGTGCCATAGCCCCAAGCTAGGGTGGGAGCATGAAGACCCACGCGACTGGTGACTGGACAGGGTGTAAGGGAGGTGGAGCCCCGAGGACCACCACAGCGAACCCATGAGTACCCCGCCTTCAGGTCAAGGGGGTAGGAACACCACTGAACACCCTTCTCCTTTACATTTTCCATCAAGTCATGGCAAGTGAGTTTGCGGCCCCAGACCACAGGGCAGGAACATACTCACAGCACCAACTGCGTGTGCCACAAATATCTTCATTAACAACCAGGAAGATGGGATAAATTGTAAGGCTGTGTGAAGCTTCAGTGACTGATTTGATTTGGAGTAGATCTGGCCCAATTCAGCAGCCAAATCTCCAAATCCAAATTAATCAGGAGACCCATTAATGTCTCCAAATCGATTCAGAGATTCGATGATTCAGCCATAGACCCAGCTTTATATGTTTTTTCTACACACCTCAAGGTATCAAACACAGCTTGTGAACACTGAGATGGTGGGGCGGACGGAGCGTCCCATGGGAGCACAGTGGGGGGTCCCCCACACGGTTGGCAGTAGACCTGGAAGTGGACCAGAAGTATTTCTGGTCCACTTCTGGGTCCGATGCAGAGCACACAGGGGACCCACTCCTCCCACCCCCAGCTCAGCGACTGGTGCATCCTGGGTCTGGGGGAGCACCCAGGGTTGCCGAGCTCAGAGGGTAAGGTGCAGGGGTGGTTCCCCACACACTCAGTGGTGGACCTGGAAGTGGACCAGAAGTACTTCTAGTCCACTTCTGGGTCCACCACCGACCACACGGGGGTCCGTCCTGTGCTCCTATGGGATGCTCCATCCGCCCCATCCTCCTAGCATTCACAAGCTGTGCCTGGTACCTCAAGGTATGTAGAAAAAACATATAAAGCTGTGTCTGTGGCCGAAACTCTGATTCTCCAAATCAGAATCGAATCTTCAGATTCAGATTCAGCTGAATCGAATTGGGACAGTGATCCAAATCAGCAAATTGAATCACTGTCCCCTGAATCAGGCCAAATCCAAATCTAATACGGTCTGCTTCGCACGCCCCTAATAGATTGCACCTGCAGCAAGTTCGCAGATGACACCAAGCTGGGGAGAGCAGTAGATACACTGGAGGGTATAGGTAGGATTCAGAGTGACCTGGACAAATTGGAGGATTAGGCCAAAAGAAATCTCATGAGGTTCAGCAAGGACAAATGCAAAGTCCTGCACTGAGGACAGAAGAATCCCATGTACCAGTACAGGCTTGGAACCAACGGGCTAAGCAGCAGCTCTTCAGAAAAAGACCTGAGGCTTACAGTGGACAATAAGCTGGATATGAATCAACAGTGCCCTTGTTGCCAAGAAGGCTAACAGCATACTGGGCTGTATTAGTAGGATTGTTTCCAGCAGATTAAGGGAATTGATTCTTCCCCTCTATTCTGCACTGATGAGGCCACATCTGAAGTACTGTGTCCAGTTTTGGGGCCCCCACTACACAAAGGATTTGGACAAGTTGGAGAGAGTCCAGTGGAGGGCAACAAACATGGTTAGGGGGCTGGGGCATACAGCTTATGAGGCGAGGCTGAGGAAACTGCACTTACTTTTTAGAAGACAAGACTGGAAGGGAATTTGATAGCATCCTTTAACTACCTGAAGGGTGGTTCCACAGAGGATGAAGCTAGACCAGGGGTAGGCAAAATGTGGCCTGGGGGCCAGATGCAGCCCACCAGGCCATTCTATCCAGCCCACGGCGCCCCTAAAACATTTAGAAAATGAATATTTATCTGCCCCTGGCTGCCTGTCATGTGGCCCTTGATGGCTTGCCAAAACTTAGTAACTGGCCCACTGCCCAAAATAATTGCTCACCTGAGCTAGACTATTCACAGGGGTGGCAGAACAAGGAGCAATGGTCTCAAGTTGAAGCAAAGGAAGGTTTTTCCTAATTTCCAACCTAAACTTCTCACTAGGAGAATGGTGAAGCACTGGAATGGGTTACCTAGAGAGGTGGTGGAATCTCCATTCTTGGAGGTTTTTAAGGCCTGGTTCAACAAAATACTGGCTGGAATGATCTAGCTGGAGGTGGTCCTGCATTGAACAGGGAGTTGGACTAGATGACCTCCTAAGGTCCCTTCCAACCCTCATTTTCTACAATTCTGTAATTCCAGCGCTAGGAGAGAACAGGGTATTTGACAATACACCTACTATACCACCTCAAATGTTTTTAGATTGCTGGCTGAACAAACATCCTGACAGTTCTGTTTAATTATTAAAATGTTGAATTAAAGTAAACTATCAAAAGAGAAGCGTCCAAGTGGCTTATCTTCCCTCCCCACTAGAGGGTAAAATACTCCACACATTACTGTGTTTTGGCAGACCCAAAGCACTGGAGATCTACAGTCCTCAGAAGCATGGAAGTACTACCAAGATGAGAGTCATTAAGAAGTTTTAAAGATTAAGAAAGTCACATTACCTTTAAAAAAATCAGCTACCAAGTAAGATAATATCACACACATACATAATAAAACTAAATCACATGAATTTGAAGTTAACAAATAGATTAGAGACCAAATTATTTTTTGTGACAAAATCAATGACCAGGTCAAAACAATTCAATTGTAAGGAATGGAGAGATTTGGCATTAACAGGATATTTGCAGGGCTGGTAAAAACTGTTCCCCAAGTTAAAGTATTGATAATTAAAAATGCTTATAAAGGCATAAACAGATTACAAGAAGTGTAAGAGAATAAGAGTCCCATTTTCTTGCATAAATTAAAAACCACAAAGGTATCCAAGCATAACACAGCCACTTCAATCAAATAATAATAGCAATAATTTGTGTTTAATAGGGAAGGACACACTAGGAATAAAAGATAAGATGGATGAAATGTAAAGGTGTTGGCAGCTCCAGCTAAGAGGACTGACATCACCCCAGTAACAGAGGATACTAGATTTTTTTTTAACTGCCTTTTTTCCTGAGAGACAGAAAAAAGAAAGATTAGGTTAACAGGACATTTCAGTAAAATCACTAAATAAATGCCTAAAACAATGAATCTTAGTCACCAATCTCAATAAATGAAATTCAACTGATGCTTAATATTAGGGTTCTCAAACAGGATGTGCAGCTGCAGAGCCACACAGATAGTGACCAAAGCTCAAATGATGAAGCACTTCAGTTGCCTTAACTAATGATTAAGTTATGATGCGCTTCAGTTCACTGGATGTTAAGACAGAACCATTCACTTTTATGTCAAAGGCCTATGGGTCAGTGTCCAAATTCCAGCTAGGGTGTTCTCTACTTAGAATGCCTCCTCCCTTTTTTTCAGCTTACACTGAGCACTAAGTTATGATAATTGGAATGCCATTTAAAATTCATACTGAAAACAAACCTGTACCCTATCAATGAGTGCTCTTGAAAATTCCTTTGAAAACTCCGTCAAAAAGACCGCCTTGTTTAACTACAGTCGTTGAAACTGTTGGTTGAACTATTTAATCTGAGTGTTCTTAACCTTGTACAACAGCTGAAAAAGATTTAATGAACTAAAAACCTTCAAAGTAAAATTTAACTTTGATCACATGACTCCAGCTTACTCTTGCTGCAAAAGCATTACAAGAGGAAGGAAGCACAGAACGCAGTTCACCCCTTTCATGGGAATTGGTCAGTGACTAACAAGAGTCAGCTCTTTTGTAGGAGATGGCTAGCTTCTTCTCAGACGTGGTGAGTACCCAGGACCTACCCGGGAGTCCCCATCTAGACATCTCAGGCTTAACAAAGAGGATAGAACTAGGAGAAAAGGAAAGATTCAATATCCTTAAAACAAAGTCTTTGGAGCATGGACCATCGTTTTGTCCTGTGTATGGTCAGCATCTAAAACAACAGAATTTCGGGCCATGACTGGAGCTCCTCGATATTACTGCAATGTAAATAAAAATCTTGTTTTCCCCTAACCACAACCACTAACAAATTACTGCATTTCTGCATGTTGTCAGTAACTTTAGTTGCTAGTACAGGCAGACCAATCATTTTGCAACAAAACAACTAATTGAAAAATTATTTTCATAATTTCATTTTAAGGTAAAAATACTTGCTTCAGAAGGGTGAAAAGCAAATTACAGAGTTTAATCAAAAATGAATCTAATGCCTCCTTCCTGTCTCTATTCCTATTTCATAACCTCACACAATAAATGCATTTTTCTCATCTGTCCAAACAAGCAGACTATATATTACCCATATACAATTATACTTTTTAAAAAGGAATAAACATGCTTAGTGTTTCAGACCTGCATGATGATCAGTTAACTGCCCTTTAACAAACTGAGCATTGAAAATATCTGCAAACTTTCATCTCTCTGACTTCAGCCGGTGAGGAAACTAAGAGTCAGGAGTTTTGATTCCTGAAATGGCAAATATAAGGTACTGTGAAAAAAGTGGACCAACTATCCTCCTTATGTAGATGTGACCTATGTCTACTAAGATGAATGGCAAAAATCACAAGCGGGATTTTATCTAAGGTTCTTTGTTTACCACCTGCATGTCCAGGTGCCTTTCTTTCACTTCTCTCCCTACCAGCATTGTTTTACTTTTTAAAGCATCAAGAGTTCAGAAACTACTGCAAACATATCTTGGGCAAAGAGCGTACTTTTTGATGTTTGTGTGAATGCAATCAACTTGGTGACCTCTCAGCTTTGTTTAGTGAGAGGTTTGCTAGACCTGGAACCATATTTTTAAATGCTTGCCAGCTTTTAAATCTGACACACTTAAATAAACCCCCTCCCTCCCCCCATCACCTCAGGGGGCCATGCTGGCCAGTGTCTGTCCACGCTCCAGGGGGTGAGGGTAGGAAAGCCATAGGCGCAGCATGGCCCTGTGTACCAGGCATGGGGCGCTACTCCTACAGCTTCCTCGCCGCTGTCTGCCTGCCTGGTGGCCGACTGCAGTTCAGTGGCACAGGTGGCACCTACCAGTATGGCCAGGGCATGCCCCCCTGCCAGCGATGGCAGTGGGGAAGCCACAGGGGTAGTGCCCTGTGCCTGGAGCCTGGTACACAGGACTGTGCTGTGCCACTGCTGGCCATGCTGAGCCATGAGCCAGCCATGCAGCCATGAGGAAAAGCCAGGCAGACCCCAGTTGGGGTCCCTGCAGGCCAGAGTGGGGTTTTAAACCCCTCCCCAGTCATATTCAGCATGCTGGGGCCTAGCCACGCCCCCCTCAGCTTAGCTTCTCTCCAACCTGAAGGGAAGGGAGGGCTGCTCTAGCACCCCGCAGCTTCTAGCCCAAGCCACTGCAGGCATGTGCCTGCATTTCTGGAATCAAAAGTGAACGTATGTTCACTTGCAAATCAGTTCAATCTCCACAGGTTAGACTAACCTGCAAAGATTGAATCAATTTAAACTCTGGCTTTTTGAATGTCTGTCCCTAGCCTAGGAGAACTCTTTTACTGTGACCAGTGGTTCTACTTTTGGGTGGAACAATGAGCTTTTGGAAGACTGTTTGGACCTGAAAATATGCTTTGTTCACTACAGATGGTTTTAAAGAGACAATGCAAGTGTGGCAGGAACTCCACAGGGAAGAACTGAGTATTTTGTTTTCTCTTTACAGATTCAGTACCAGGGACTATATAAGATGATATTCATATTGGGAATTGGAGGAAGTTTCCCATATGGATTCCATATTTCTGTAATCAACTCACCCTCAGAGGTATGCAGAGGGCCCTTGGGGGTTGAGCATAAAGAGGTGCATCCAGCACTAGAACCAGTTCTCAAACCTACCAAGCATTTCAACTAAAATGCCATGGTTGTTGCTTCAACTATTCATTTTGTTCCATAATGAAATTTTTATAAAAAGACAAAAAGAAATCACATTTAGAGAGGTCCTTAGCCCTCAGAGATATCAGGATAATAAATATCCTGTCTTGCAACGTTGAAATGGGAAAACCCAAATAGACAAAGTGAATTTCCAATATTTCAGAGATTACTTGCCAAGAAGTTCAGAGATAT